TTGCTACACGCAAAAATCCCCTTTCGTTCGCCTGTAAAGTTCTGGAAAATCGCTTACTGACCGCTTGAAAAAGGAACCAAACATTAAGTTTAGAAAGTGAAACAGCATGGTTCTCATTAGTGAAGCTTGGCTGTATTGACGGCCACAAGTATTTTTCCGAAGAAAGGAGCTCGCTTGAAGCTCAAATCATCGATGCGTAACTGTCGAATGGTTCGACGCTTCGCCTATTAATTGTCTTTAAATGACTTTTAGAGCCTTGAAAACCATGATTAGGGGTAAGGAATGAGACTAAGTAAACAAGTAAAATTTGAGCTAGTTTTACAGTCTCTTAAAACCCGGTGTAGACGAAATATTCAAATGGAGCAGCGCGTCTGCAATGTCACTGGCTCAGCGAGACAGATTAGAATGAAAATATGCAGACTGCAAGTGGCGCGAGTCCTTGCGAAGCGGACTCCTGCCAGTTTAATTTCCGCCTAAACTGAGTTGAAACTCACTATAGATATAGATATGTTTGTCTTTGAAAACGGTTGCGTAAGGCTGCGTTCATACTGATTGCGAAATCCGGGAACAGTTCTGGCACAGTGCTCGAATTGAGCGTTGTACTGGGACTGTTCTCGAATTTCGTAATCAGTATGAACGCAGCCTAAGAATTAAAAAGGTCCTTGGAAAGAGTTCAACTCTTATGTGCAAAGTCAAGGTAAATTTTAACCCTAGCTATCCCAGGGTTAAATTTTACCTTGAAAGCATAATAGAAAGTTGATGGAAAAATGATGATTGAGGTAGATTTTAACCTCAAGGTAGAATGATGAATACGGGTTTATGCGTTTGAAGGTTCATTTCTACCTCAAGGTAGACTTGACCCACGAGAAAATTTCATTGCGATCATGTTGTGAATACGGGTTATAAACTAAAATGCTAGCTGAGGTAACTTTTAACCCCAAGGGTTCGTTGATGAATACGGCCACAGGTTGTAAGCGTGAGTGCGAGAGTGACATTGTGAAAAGAAGCTGTACAGCGATGACTGGGGCAAAACAAAATTCTAGAACGATATGATCCACTTCCCCCCATTGAAAATATTTCTGAAAATGTTACTTTTGAGCGGTTGTGGCAATAAATGTACTGATAACGAAATTTCACTTGAGAAAATTATAGGTATGAAAGACGTTTATTTACGGGTGTGCCCTACCCGTTTGCTAGCGACCCGTAGGGTCGCTAGTCTTATATATAAAGCTGAATGTCTGTTTGTATGTATGTATGTCTGTCTGTACGTATGTTCCGAATAGAAAATTCCATTTCTGAACCGATCCGGACCAAACTTGGCACACATACACTTCGGGCCCCGGCGGGTGTCATAGGCTACTCTTCGTATCGATCGATATCGATTTTATCGATTTTTTGCAAAATTTGAGCTACGGGGCTGGGAGTTGGCACAGGGGGGTAAGTGAGCATGGGGATTCCGAATACAATATTAGTTTTTAAAATCGTGCATTATTTATCGATTTCATCGATTTTTTGCAAAGTTTGAGCTACGGGGCTGGGATTTGGCACAGGGGGGTAATCGAGCATGCTGATCATCCCCGTGGGGATGATCAGCATGCTTGATTACACCCCCTGCCAAATTCCAGCCCCCTACCTCCAATTTTGCAAAGAAATCGATAAAATCGATAAAAGTAATGCACGGTTTCGAAAACTAATATTGTATTCGTAATCAGCATGCTCGATTACCCCCCTGTGCCAAATCCCAGCCCCCTAGCTCAAATTTTGCAAAAAATCGATAAAATCGGCATCAATCGATAACGAAAAGTGGACTGTGACACCCGCCGGGGCCCGAAGTGTATGTGTGCCAAGTTTGGTTCGGATCGGTTGAGAAATGGAATTTTCTATTCGGAACATACGGCGGAGCCGGGTATGCCAGCTAGTATCGAATATATTCGAGATTTTATTTTCGAATAATCGAATTTCGAATAAAATTTATTCGAATACTTTATTCGAATATTTATTCGATTCGGTCCAAAGTATATTGCACACCCAAGGCACTCCCTCGCCAAGTGGAGGCAGCAGACCATGAGGGAAATTAGACATATAATGCGCACAAACGGGCTGAGAAAGAATTTAGTGCTAAGACACCTATCTGTACCAAAGTGTGGGATCGCGGACAGATCTTACAGACGGATAGATCTTACATTCTTATTTTTTTCAAATGAAGGCAAACCGATGTTTGAATCGCCATGATTACCCAAATACTTATGGGAACGGATTGCGGACTTTTTTTCTGATAACATGAATAAACTATCTTCACGCTATAGCACTGCTTTTCGTACTCTTTCGCTATTAAAAACCGCACGCATTGAGCTGCTATGACTTCTCCTCTATACGAATCGTGAGCTAATGTGCATAAATAAAGGGGCAGGGGACTATGTGTCGCCGATAGGCTACACCCAGCGCGGACAGCTGGTGCATGGGATCACCCCTTTCGGCGACATTTAGTCTCCCACCTTAAAGAAAGCCAATTGTCCATTTGTCTGTATGTATGTCTGCATGTATGCATGTTGTACGTAGTTCCGAATAGAAAATTTTATATCTGAACCTAACCGGACCAAACTTGGCAGGCACACACTCGGGATTGAGAGGCGTTGTGAACTATTTTCGTCATCAATGGATATCGGCTCATTAGTTTTTTTTGCAAAGTTTCACCTAGCTGGGAGTTGGCACAAAGGAGTACGTGGCATGCTGATTATGAGAATATTACTAACAAGGCCGGGCGGAGCTGGGTTTACCAGCTAGTGATATCTTTGATTCAACCTGTTTAGCTCCATCAGGGCAGGCCGCTCGCGTCCGCGACGCACCTGCGTCTCTCGCGCGCGGGTGCTCTCTGACCATTACCTAGCCTTAATTAGGTCACGAAGCCCGCCTTTGCCGAAGTTCAGCCAGTTGAATTAATTGTACATATAGTCGCCTTTATTTCCAACTGCTTTCACTAATTCCACCATTCTTGCAATGTGCAGTAGAGCAGGCCGGTGGCGGTAAAACCATACCGTGATTGACAAAAGTATGAAACCTCGGATTTAAAAGACTTATAGCTTTTGAGAGTGCTGCTGCCAGTGAAAAGTCAAAAGTAGCGAAACTGCACAAGGCAACTGCTGAGATGAGGACTACTTTACAAATGTAGTTATCCCGGGCAAATTTGAGAGCAATTAATGCAAGTGAATACCGAAGCTGGCTCGCCATCCAAGCTGTAGCCCGACTGCGAGTGCAAATTGCTTCTGAAGCGAGAAAACAGCTTCTAAACAGACCGTCTCTCGATTCAGTGTCGTCCTTATCGAAGCAGGAAATCGCGCCAGGACATGGCCGTAGCGACGCTATTGCCTGCTGCAGGCGCGAATTTCAGCTCCAGGAAAAACGCTACTGAGGGGGAGGAGGTCTGTTTATACTTTTCAGCTGTTTTCTCGCTTTAGAAGCGGTATTTTGCATTCGCAATCGGGTTATGGCTTGCATGGAGAGCCCGCTTTGAAACTACGTCGGAATTAGGTGCTCCGAAATCTGCCCGGCACTACCTTCAAAGGCACCGTCCTTCCCAACTTCCATGTTTTTGTCGTTTTGGAACCTTCTTATGTCCTGATTCCGGATACGAAGTCGTGAATCCGCAAAAACCCCGACAACTGCCTTTCCAGGGAACCCGCAGACCGGCTCTCTGGAACGGTGATCGGATGGGCGAGCAAGGATGGGCGACACTGGAGAAGGGCGATGCCGACTGGGAATACTCGACCCTCTTCATTATTCCGGAGCAATTTTCTCGCTTTTGAAGCGACATTTTGTAACGCGATTTGAACATTTGCTCGAGAGGGTCCTACGTATGCTGCCAAAAGTACAAGACTCTTAAGGTACCCGCCATACTTGATCCGCTTGATCCGCTTCATCATTGGTCAATTCAGTGAACTGGCCAATAGTGAAGTGGATGAAGTGGATCGAGCGGATCAAGCGGACAACCGCTTCGCTATTGCTCAACTGACTGAATCGACCAATGACGAAGCGGATTAAGCGGATCAAGTGGATTAAGCGGATCAAGTATGGCGGGTGCCTAACCTAACTTAGGGAACGGCCATAGGTTTCCAGCAATTGCCGAAGTTGCTTGTCGTTGCAGGACCCCACAGTACTCTATATGTATTAGGCTAGGTTCATACTGATCCGTAAATTCCGAAACAGTTCAGCACAGCGATTCAGCGGATTCCAGCGCTGTGCTGAGACTGTTCTGGAACTTACGGATCAGTATGAACCCAGCTTATGCGCTCTCTAACAACCTCGGCAACCGTTGCCGGCAGGTCATGGCCGATCTCTCAAAGGCACCCTCTAGCCAAAGTGGGGTTGATGACCTCTAGGTAAACCCCAGAAGATACGCCGCAGGAGATTGATTTCGGAGAAATCCGCTTCGAAAGAGACATAAAGGCTGCTACATGACGTAGGCGCAATACCCTTGGGCGCGAACGCGGTTTTATTAGCCGCAGAGCGCATGAGGCGCAGGATTTACAGCGGTGAAGATAGTACGCGCGCGCCGAGTTTGCGCCCGCTTAACTTGCTATTGCGCCTTCGTCATGCAGTAGCCTTTATTTGGAGGTGGTCAAACCATCCAGGTGGTTGCCACCCACTTTGCAGGTTTTCCCTCGCCCGCGGGTTCTCCAAAACGGAGATTTTTGGAGTTTCGCGTATTCTCTACTCCGTATTGGGACTCACGGACATGAGAAGGTTCCAAAACGACAAAAATCTGGAAGTCGAGAATTGGACACTGTGCCTTTAAGCCTATCATCGGCTCGCAGATTCGTATGGAGGCGGGTTGCGGGCTTCCCTGATTTTCAGGACAAACTTGTTAAACCTCCACGTTAAAGCATTGTATTTCGTACTCTCTCGTTAAGTATCCTTAAAATCAGGGAAGTCCGTGATCCGCCTCCAGAATCTGGGAGCCGATCACACATATTAATGTATATTCATCGCGTAACAACAAATACCTATTTGTGAGCTTTTTGATATCCTCCAATTCCCTTAGAAGATTGGCTTTTTCTTCTTCACTTTCCTTCATTTTTATTTCGGCGGTTCTGATCCATTCTTTCAGTTCTTCGACTTCTCTACAACAGCAAGAGGTCTGTGATGAAACATAAAAATGCATTAACTTGGCCTGTTCCTTCGAAATTTGCGTTTGCCTTTGACAATACTTCATCAGCTGAGTCAGTTTCTCCCGCTAAAGAAGTGTTAGAGCTTTTCCCATGTTATGTAAATTTTACAAAGTACATTTCATTCGCTGACCCGCACGAACTGGACATAACTGCGGAGCACGCGCCGCAAGGTAAAACGCATGCCTCAGTAGAATAAGTTTCGTCCCGCTTTAGGCGGAAATTGGATTGGCGGGCGTCCGCCTCGCAACGGCTCGCGCCATTTCGCAACTACAGTCGACGTCGTGCTGAGAGCCCAGGTCTGCGTCTCTTCAATCTCCTCAGTCTTTGCTTGGCAAAATGCCAGCACTACGCGCTCGCGAAGCCTCCAGTGATGCGCACGCGTTGCTCCTCGCAGATTGTTTCTCCAGGTAATCCCATGCTCTGTCCAGTGTGTAATCATGAAATGAAATCACTCCGAAATCAATTCGGCTATGGATCCACAAATCTGCAAGAGCTCTTCAAAGTATGGTCGGTTTCCAGATTCGTGTGGAGGTGTATTGCAGACCTTTGCCTGATAACACAGGTAAACACTTTAAACCTCCACGTCATAGCATTGCTTTTCGTACTCTCTCGCTAGCAAAGCATCGCGTCACGCGGTGAATTGGCAAGACTCCACCTCCACACGAATCTGGAAGCCATAGAAGTAATCCAAGCAACTTAACTATTCGTGTGGAGGTGGAGTCTTGCCAATTCACCGCGTGACGCGATGCTTTGCTAGCGAGAGAGTACGAAAAGCAATGCTATGACGTGGAGGTTTAAAGTGTTTACCTGTGTTATCAGGCAAAGTCTGCAATACACCTCCACACGAATCTGGAAACCGACCATACTTTGAAGAGCTCTTGCAGATTTGGATCCATAGCCGAATTGATTTCGAGTGATTTCATTTCATGATTACACACTGGACAGAGCATGGGATTACCTGGAGAAACAAAAAATATTGAATTTCGTCTAGCTTTCTTAATCTAGAAGAACCTGGTATGTGTTGAACACACGACTGGCACAAGATATGGAAGCAGCTGGTGAGAAAGTACTTGCGATTTGTTCCTTTAGATGGCAGAATGTAGCAGTTATTGCAGTGCATGAAATCTGTCATAGCGGACGCACAAAGTTGTCACGTAACGGAATTCCTTGCGAGCAAATAAGAGCCAACTGAAAAGCAAAAAAGCATAACGAACCCCAAAGAGAGGACCGCGATACGATCTATACAACTTTTCCAACATACAAGGAGCATGAGACAATAAAATCACAACGGACCGCATACAGTCGAGTAATGCATATCGTTCACTTCACGATTGCTGCTATGGCTTCTCTGTATCTCTGACTGCAGCTCACATGGCCAACATGTTGGCAACGTGCAACAACATGTTCGTAACGACGATGCAACACGTTGTTGCCGCCCATGCTCTGACGGCAGGAAGGGCTGCAGAGACGCAGAGCAGTGTAACTGGGAGACGGTCTTTTCGCACGGGCGGTCTCCAGCGTCTCCCTGATTTTGACTTGTCTTAACATGTAATACACGCCGCAAGTCTTTCCTCCCCCTATTTTGCTTAGGCAAAAGCCGCCGCAGGGTGTGTCGCGCGCGGCGGTGGTCCTGTGTGGAAAGCATTACGGTCGTGCGAAACGTCACACACCCAGTATAACTACATCGAGTCGATGTCAATCACATACTCCCTTTCGTATGGGAACTATGCATGCGCAACGCAAGAGGGCCGTGCGTGCGGACCTCCAATCGATGAGACTTATCTGAATGTCCGAGTGATGCGCGCGCGAACGTGGCGCGAAGTTCTTGCGTTTACGGGAAACGGAGCACCTACCTGACGCGGACTTTAGTATGGGGTCTTGTCTTGTCAGATCGTGAAGGTCTTTTGCGGCCATTACTCATGCAAGATGCCACGCATCTTCACCGCTGAAGATTATGCGCCTCACGCGCTCTGCGGCTAATAAAGCCGTGTTCGCGCCCAAAGATATTGCACCTTCGTCATGCAGCAGCCTATATCTACCCAAAGCACTTGCCGCAGCATAGTTATAAAGGTCATGAGTTCTCAGTAACGTTAATTAGCGCCTAATCAACACCGACGATGCAGCTATTCCATCGCCCCCTAACCATTCCAATTGGGAAGAGGGTTCGACAAGGCGACACTATTTCGCCGAAGCTGTTCACCGCGGCCTTGCAGTGGGTGATGAAGTCACTAGACTGGGAAGAGAGAGGCATACGAGTTGATGGGAGATTCCTATCCAACCTTCGTTTTGCGGATGACATCGTCCTTTTCTCGAGCAGTATCACTGAAGCAGAGGCGATGCTGAAGGAACTAAACGAAGTAGGGAAGAAGATCGGACTGCGAATAAATCGGAAGAAGACTCAGTTCATGAAGAACGCCCTTTGCGAAGATGCAGAAATGGAATTGGAAGGCACCCCTATCATGGAGACGTCTTCATAGATGGAGAACGACTTGAGGGAAGAACTTAACAGGAGAAGAAGAGCAGCCTGGGCCGCCTTCGGGCCTGTGAAGGAAGCCACCGACCAACTGACGGACCCGGAGCTCCGTGCCCACCTGTTCGACTCAACCGTTCTCCCAGCGCTCTGCTACGCAGCTGAGACTTGGGCCGACACCGTAGCCACGTCGAAAGCTTTGAGGGCCACCCACAGAGCGCTCGAGCGCAGTCTTCTGAAGATGACCCGACACAAGCAACATCTAGTCGAACTTCGCAGTACGGATATGAGAAGAACGTCCCGTCTTCGTGACCCAGGGAATACGTTGCGAAAGCGAAACACCGATGGGCCGGTCACATAATGAGAAGAACGGACGATAGATGGACATTAAGAACATCTGAGTGGATTCCTCGCGAAGCCAAACGTCCTCGAGGAAGACCACCGACGAGATGGGCAGACGTGTTCGTGGAACGGATGGACCAGCTGAGAAATCAGCTGGATACGATTCTCGCCCCTGGAACTCGTGGACGCAGCCACCGACGACGACCAAGAAGATCGTGGATGTCCGAAGCGAGGGACAGGGATCAATGGCAACTTCTGTACTGGGGCCCGCACGTCACGTGAGGACGGGCCATCTAAGTATCTAAGTAATCAACACCGTATGCAGAGCCAATCCGTGCACATAGCACCCTCGTCCTCATCCGGGAACCCATGAAACTGAGTTTCATTGAAATTTCGAATTCGAAGTTCAGTAGCAATATACAATCGAATCATTTCATATGATCTTGTGCATCACTGCATACACTGTCCACCTCTGGCGTCCCCATCCTGGAATTACAATCGCAAAACGCAAGAGACCCACCGACTGTTATCGCTTACATCACTTCGTGAAGAGTGGTACTCAGAAAAAAAGGAAAAAGCATGAAGAAAACATCGGAAACACTTAGTAGAAGGGCTCTCTGTTTCTAAAATGTAGGAGAATATCAGCATAAATTTACAGTGGAAACGTAAAAGACTTCATTTTCCAAAAAGGGAGTAAATTTGGAAGTATTGAGCAGAACTATCAGCATATTCGGAAACAGCGTGCTTGAGTTTCCCTAAATGCAAGTTTTTACTACAATCGGACATATATAGCTACTGAACCTTGAGTGCAAAATTTCATCGAAGTTCAGTTTCATATGTTTCCGGAGGAGGACGAGATTGCTGTGTGCACAGATTAGTTTGCATACGGCGCTGATTGGGTGCTTAACGTTATTGACAACTCATGCCCTTTATAACTACGCTGCGGCAAGTGCTTGAGGTAGATAGGTTCTGTTCCCCTCACCGACCTTCCCGATCAGGCAATGCTATATGTAGTCTGCTCCAATCCAAACCAGGCCAAAATTGGCATGGCGGGACTCCGTGTCGCGAGGGTATTGCATCACGTCTACGGCTAGCTAGCCTGCTCTCCCCTCAATCTCTTCGCTCTCTGCGACAGCGCGGCATATGCAGCGCAAACCCCCAGCGATGCGAGCGCGCCAACTCAGCTGACGGTTTGGCCTGATCCCGATTGGGACAAACTGTATCTATGCTCTCACGAGCGGACGCAGGGTGCCCAGGTTAGAGACGCAGAGCAGTGTAGTGTAGGGTTCTGCTGGCCGGGAGAGTTTGCGTTGCTGATAGCCTCCACCCCACGCGGACGGCTGGTACTAATCTGTAACGGTGCTGCCTGGTTTGCTGTAGATGTCCGCATGGAATTACCCTCTCAGACATTTTTTGCGGCCACCCGCGCACTCATGGTCGGCTGGGCGAAAATCCCTGCCGGGGCTGGCCCTGCCATGCTAGCGCGGGCCATCAACGGTTCCAGTGTGCGCAGCGACCCTGTCACCCGGACGAGCGGGCCAGCCTGTATTTCAATGTCTCTTTTACCTTGTTGGCCCGCGCTAGCATAGCAGGGCCACACAGGGGTGGGTTTCTGCTCGTCACCTGCATGCGCGGTCACCTCAAATGTGGACACAATTAAGGTGAAGTCAAAAATAGTGGAACTCGTTCTTGCATTCACACTACTGACCGAAATATCGTTCATTCAAAACACGCAAAGACTGGGCGCCATTGCGTACGACCAAAATAGCTGGTGCTTGAGAGAGGCAGCAGGTGGTAAGAGGAGCGAAAGAGCGCTTGATCACAGAGACGCCGATACGTCCGCAGTCTTTGCGCGCAACAAATCGCCTATACACGAGATTACTCGAAACTCCACCAACGGTCAACTCATAAGGAAACCTATTGTGAGCCCAAAGGCAACTGTTGCATTTCCTGCAAGCTCCGATGGCCTTTCTCTGCGTCGTATCTCACGCGAGTAACCCTTGTGCTTACAACGTGCGTTAATTATCATCTTTTCTACGATCAGGAGACGCGAAACCGCATTGCGGACATGTCTTAACAAGTTTGAGTTTGTTTTTTTTGTTTCCAAAGAGTGAATAAACCTGGATGAGATAAATAACATATCGTCGAGTCATTCGTAACTTAATATACCTAGTGCACACTATACACGCTAACTGACGAACTGCGAAATTGGAACCTGTTGATTTTTCAGTGAATTCTCCCTGTTTGCCTGTTTCTTTTGTTTTAGTTGATTACATGTTAGCCAGTAGAACACATTTCTACATTTTGTTAGGTTAGAAATTGTTTTACGAAGAAGTTAATAGTATGAGTGCCGTTGATAATAGAGCTTAGTGTGCAGTCTCACATATTAAGTTACAAATGACTCGAGGTTACGAACTTGCTAAGTACACATAGGCTTATTTAGACAATGTGTGCAATGCGGTCTCGCGTCTCCTAGTCGTAGAAATGAATGATATATGGGTGAGCGGGTCTCTGTTAGTTTAGCATGTGTGTATGAGTGCGCGGGGCAGTGAAATTTTGAGCCTGTATAGGTGTGCGGGCCACCGTCGCATGGCATCAATTACAGGGCTCCTAAATTGCAGAGTCGTTTGCATCAGCGGTCGCGCGACCGCGTCGCGCCCGGGCGTGAATGGCGCCGCCTCGATCGCCAGCAAAATGCCCGGGCGCGACGCGGTCGCGCGACCGCTGGAGTAAGCGTCGCCCAGCGGAAGCGGCTGGTTACTAACAAGACTACAGTGTTGTGATAGAAGGTTTATTATCTGTCGAACAGGAAACTATACGAAACGTGAGAGGAGTGGATCTTGGACTTGAGAGGATGAGTGTGTGGTTGATATCGGGGCAACCGCCCCAGGAGAGAGAGAGTGTCGTTGGAGCTCCCCGCGTGCTCGATGTGACTGGTTATATACCTTAGCGTTATCATAGCACATCATCTCCGAGAATGTGGGAATCACTGTTCTCATAACAAACAAACAATAACATCGGATAATATCCCAAGAAAAGAGCGCGCGATAACATTCCAGTACAAAGAGCGCTGCTCTTACACCTCCCCCATTTCCCTCAAGTCCGTCCCGGACTTAAAAGAAGAAAAGAGGGAGTAACGAAAAGTGAATTTATTTAAGACATGCATCAAATTTGTGCAGTCAATCAAGCATAATCTCCTTAGTTACCTGAAAAGCACATGTTGTAGCGAGTGGATGTGTACTAGTCGGTGATGATTATAATACATGTTGCTGGAGTGATATGCTCTGTTGAATGCTCATGAAGTGAGCTACGCCAGAGCGGTGAATGAACTGCACCTGGAAGTAGTGTAGGATTAGAAGTGTTCTCGATTTAGCCAA